TATATATATATATATATATATATATATATATATATATATATATATATATATATATATATATATATATATATATATATATATATATATATATATATATGTATATATATATATATATATGTATATATATATATATAGTATATATATATATATATATATATATATATATATATATATATATATATAATATAGACTTGGCTAGGATGGCATGGAATTTCACGTCATAATATGACCAAGCAAACACTATTTGATTTTACTTAATTTGACCATGGCTGTTAATATGTTTGGAAAATTTGTATACCTTTTAAAAACGTGCTTAAAAAAATATCTTAACTTAACTACAAAGAAACTCATCGTAAAAAAAGCAAATAAATTTTTGTAAAAAAAAATAATTAAAAACAAAATAAAAATAACTTAACTAAAATTAACTATTAATTTAGTAAAACTAAAATAAATAATAAACTATAACAATAAGATTATCTAAATTATGTTTGGAATAACTTTGAATTGTTTATCTTTACTAATGTTTATATAATATAATATTATGCGAAACTTTTTTTAAATAAAGTAGCAACTTATAAGTAACAATTGTTTAATAAATGCACATATTTTAAAGTTTAAAAAAAGATTCTTAACAATTCTTCGCACTAAAGAAAAAATAATTAAATGGTTTGTTTAAAAAGTCAATATAATTTTTTTTATCTAAAAACTTTTATAATATAAAATAAATACTTATATAAATATAAAAAAATATATATTATTCATTGTTTTTTATAAAAAATCATTGGCAGTGATTTGTTACTTTATTTAATGCGTTTCAATAATACAAAAACATAAGTAAAGGTCAAAGTTATTTAATTCAAATGATTTTCAAAAAATGGTTCTTATATAGAGTTTATTAAAGAGACCTTCGCTGTTTAAAGTCGTCACTTATAAAATTTAATTTTTTTTTTTTAATTTTTACTTTTTTAATTTTTACTAATAAAAAAATCTTATATAATAAAATATTGTTTTTTATTTTAGTTACAATGATACTTATACTTTCCTGAGAAAAACTATACTTTAGCAAGAGCCGTAAATTGCTTCCGTAAACCGTTTTAGGGGAGTGTCTGCGAGAGCGACTGCTAAAGCTCTCGCTTCCTGCTTAGGCCTATATTTATATATTATATATATACATATATATATATAATATATATATATATATGTATATATATATATATATATATATATATATATATATATATATTATATATATATATATATATATATATATATATAGATATATATATATATATTTACAGGGCTTAATTTAATGGTTGGACATTGCTGCCTCCCGGATGGTTTTTGAGATCTGATTTATGGGGGCAACCAACGAATGTTCATTTTTAATGAAAAAATTAAAAACGATTTGTTGCCCTCCTCTAGCAGGTCTCAAAAATGGTCCTAGGCAGCGATGTCCAACCATTAAATTGAGCCCTGTATATATATATATATGTATATATATATATATATATATATATATATATATATATATATATATATATATATATATATATATATATATATATATATATATATATATATATATATATATATATATATATATATATATGTATATATATATATATATATATATATAGTATTTATGTTACTGTTACCCACAATACCAGGAATTAGCTAAATGCTAATGTTTATATAACTTAGAATTATAAAACATAGCCAAAAAAACCATTCTCTACTACAACAAAAGCACATGGATACATTGAAAAATAATTTTAACGAAACCCCTATACTAACATGGTCTATTCTGAAGTCTGTACCCCCCTGATCAAATAATTCCATAAGGCACCCACTATGTCATTATGAGAAACTTGTTTTCATATTGTATCCAAAACCTGAGTAACTGCTAAATAAAAGAACCGAAATTGTATCAAAGTGTTGCCACGATAATAAATTCTTATAAAAAAATTACAAAGCTTACTACAAACCTAACTAACAACTAACAATAACTACATTACCAGGGGCTATACTAGGGAAATAATTTAGGCAGCAGTACCCCCCTTGTTGGCAAAATTTGCCTAAAATATTGTTTAATGTAGGCATTTTTTGCAAAAAAAAACAATATTTGCCATAAAAAAAACAACATAAATTTCCAATTTAGGGTGGCGCCCAAATTGATGTCCAAATATGGTCAGTGCTGTTTAAAACGGTCTAGTATAGCCCCTGATTACTCTACTTTATATATCTCTGAGCTAACCCACAAACGCTTTGTTTTGACAAGTGCATTTTGGGTTATTATTTTTAGTGCTTGTTCATATTTTTTTTTAGATTGATTAATTATAACTTTGTTTGAGGAATTTTGCAAAAGTCTGTTGAATATTGAGATAGGTAAGTGTTTGATAATTTGTGGTGGGTGATTAGGCAATGTGTGGATGTATTGAAGATACATCCACACATCTTCATATCGTGGGATTTTTTGAAAGGCTTATGGATGTTTTGGGCTAAATTAAAGGTGAAATCAAGGAAATTAACTGATTTAAGATTTGTTTTTATATCTATTTGAAATCCAACATCTTTAAACTTTTGGATTATGTTTTTCGCATTTGCGCCATTTCTTGGCCGTTAGAATTATGTATTATCAACAAGCCATCATCACGATAAAACCCAATGTTGGTTTTTATAATTATATTGGATAGTTCATTGAGTATGTATATCCCTACAAGTTCACAAATTTCAGCGCCATGGCAGCTGCCCATTGTTACATCCAAACTTTCATGATTCAGTTTTTTTATCCATGTGCTTTTGTTGTAGTAGAGAATGGTTTTTTGGCTATGTTTTTAATTCTAAGTTGGTTGTCTTTTATTGTGATATTTTTTTATTAATTAATCACCTCCCTAAAGCCAAGAAGGCCACTACAGTTGAGGAAGCTATTTTTGTGGTTACAACCCTTTCTCAACAACTTGAGCACAGTACTGCCAGGGACATGGTGGGTATCAAACTCGAACTTCTTGCTTATGAGGCAAGCAGTCTACCACTACACCACTACCACCTATGGTTTTGCAAAGGAAACAGCTTTATTAAATATTTCTGTGGTTATAAATGAATAAAATTCATTTATGTTGAATTGGATGAAGAAACAACTATTTTTGTCTGCGATGTCACTAAATAAACTAAAAACCTCAGTGATGTTTTTCCATTAGTGTACTTGTAGGCTATTTCTTAAGTATGTGTTAGTAATGTAATAAAAGATTTTTTTGCTTATTATTCCAATTTCGCTTTTTGGCTGGTTAATGAGATGGCAGGCAGGTTTTGATTTAAAGTTTTCTTTATGGTCTTTCAAGGTGATGAATGCTGGAGATTTGGGTAGGTATTCTATTCGGTTACTCAAATTTAATTTTAAGACTATTTGGTTGGCTTTAGACTATCTTATTGCCTGCTGCCACAAAAGAGTGCTGCTACATTGACTGAGGTTTAGTATGAGGCAGCAATCATATATATATATATATATATATATATATATATATATATATATATATATATATATATATATATATATATATATATATATATATATGTATATATTTCTGTAGTTTGATTCATCTAAATTTACTATTTGTAATAAAAATCAAGTACACTTTATATAAATACCATAAAATTTAATTAAGGAAAGTAATTAACTTTTAACGTTTTTTAGATAACCAAAAAATTGCAACTTAATGTTTTTTATTTTTTTCAACGTTAATTAAATAAATAAAGAAAAAAACATGTTTTTTTCTTTATTTTCACATTAAGAATTAATTTGTTTATATCCTGTTTGTTGATTCCTTGTAAACATATGTTCTTATTTTTTTAAAATTGAACAATTTGTCTTCATCGTCTGCAAGTATAGTACAATCGTTTTGCTCTTGTCCTTTAATCCCCTGTTGATTGTTTCTCTATCTTTAATGAGAGGAAATAAACTAGTCATTTGTACTGCTTATCTCTTTCCATTAAATTCTTTGCATCAATTTATTGCAGCTTTTAATTATTTATTTTGCTCATTCAGCCCTTGGAAATTTGGGTAGCAATGTGGACCTAACTGCTGACCAAAAGTATTTGAGGTTGGCAAAAATTGCTGACCTCGTTTCAATGTTTTATGGTAAAGCTTTTGTGTCAAAGTGTTTTTGCTAACCTAGTCTTAAACCTCTAACCAACCTCTAACATTTTCAAAGTATTTTTGCCAACCTAGTCTTAAACCTCTAACCAACCTCTAACAGTTTAAATTGGCAATTTAATGCCGACTTACATTCTATAAATTTTTTATTCAATTATTAAAAATTTGTTTTTAAATCTTCAAATAAGCAACATAGTTTTTGGGGTGCACATGATGTGATTTCTGTGGTACATTGAAGTGATCCCCAAAATTTATGTAAACAGTAATATAATCATATCGGATTACAAAATTATGACCAATTTTGTTCATGTTGTTTTTGGGGTGTATGCCAAAAAGTACGACCAACTTCAACAATCTAGCAAGAGAACATACATGAGACCACAGAAACCATACCTACCAGGAAGAACCCTTTAAATTTATCTTTCAAAATCACTATTAATCTTTCAAAATCACTATTATCTATTTCTAGAAGAAAAATTCAAAAAAAATCTAATGTTTTAAATCTGAAGAAGACATCCTTGAGGTAGCTGATCATGACAATGCCTACAAATCAAATGAAGAAGTCTTCACATTATATTTAAGGTTTTAAAATGATAAAAATATTTTTGTGTACAAAAAATGAATAAATGCAATAATTTTTTTCACCCCAATAAAAGCAATAATTTTTTGCAACCCAAATTTTAGCATGGTTTTTATAGTGCACTCACTTGTAATCTATGTTTTATATAAAAATGTGATTAAAAAACTAATTTAAAAATTGTTAAATGTATGTTCTCTAAATATATGTGTTTAAATATTTGTTTATAATATAGTAATGCAGTTAAAACTTAATAATAAAATTGTTTAAATATTTGTTCTCTAAATATGTGTTTAAATATGTTTTATATACAGTAATGCAATTAAAAATTAATAATAAATTTGTTGTAATATTTGTGGTATGAATGGAACCACGACTAATCCACTATCTACATCTGCAGTTCCTCCAACATTTCCTAGAAATGAGGTTGTTTTTTTATTTTTTGTTTATTTTTTAATCTCTATAATGTTCGTACTTTTTCAATCTTTATGTATAATACTTTTTAATCTTTATGTTTAATATTTTTCCATCTCTTTAATACTAGAGTTGAGCATGGTAAAATTGGTAGAGGCTAATTTAATGTATTCACCAGTAAATTTACTGATAAATTATTACTACTGCGATCAACTATATTATGGAGCATCATATCAATCATTTCTTCAAGCTTGATTCTTAGATGGATTGGTTGCAACAGTAATAATTTACTGGTAAATTTACCAGTGAACACATCAAGTTACCCTATATAATCCCAGGTCTGATAAACACATCAGACAATTACATCAAGTTTCCTTATAAACCCAGGTCAGGTCAGGTTCAGGATCATTATGATCACCCTGCTACTGGTATCATGTAACCCAGTACTATCTGCCCCATGCTCTGCTGCTTTGTAGGGTATGTTTTTTTAGGCAAAGGCTAAGAGAAAAAAACTCTGAAAAAATCCCCTGCCTTGGGGCTTTTGGTTGAGTAAAGACTAGAGATGGTGTCTTGATAAAAATACTCATCTTAAACAATTGTCAATTGCATCCATTCTTTGCCTAGGAGAACTCATCCAATCTTTGCCTTGGAGACCTTTTACAAGACAGTAACATATAAGATGCAGGTAACATATGCCTAAGATAAGTATTTTTATCTCTAACCTTTACTCAACCAAGAGCCCCAAGATATTGTCTTAGGTTGACCCCCAGATATTGTCTTAGGGCTCTTGGTTGAATAAAAGCTAGAGATAAAAGTACTTATCTTGGGCATATGCTACCTGCATCTTATATGTTACTGTCTTGTAGAAGGTCTCCGAGGCAAAGACATTCGGGGTAAGCAGAATAATTCTGTCAACCAGCTTTGAACCCCTAAATCATCTATTAGGCTGGCGTAGATGTAAACCTGGATTATATTGTTTCCTGCGTAGGATGATGAGTGCTAGATATTCTTGACTTTACTCAAAGGTTTTTGTCTCCTTGATGGTGGCTATGCAACTCTTCCTGTTATCTCCTAATGAAGGTACAGCTAAAAAACTCAGATTGTGTCCCTGTTAATGAGTTGTCGAGGCCACGTAAGGAGCTCTATGTTATGACTTTAGGTTAATTAACAGGGCTAACACAACTGCAGAGCTCATTTTGACAATATGAGAACAAATTCCAGAGAATTTTCTTAGTAACTGTCAACTTAGTTGTAGTGCTTGCAGCCTTATTAGGAGTGAATCATAATAATAAAAAAATATTTAATACTTTTTTATTCTCTATAATATTAGTTGTTTTGCTATAATATCCTCTATAATATTAGTTGTTTTACTATAATATTCTCTATAATATTAGTTGTTTTACTATAATTTTTTAAATTTCTACAATTATTATTATTTTTCCAGCGAATTTTATTAGGAGTTGTGTTGGCAATTACTGGAAACCTGTTGATAAGTGTATCGATGAATATTCAGGTTGTTTTTTGTTTTTTTAATTAGATTTTCTTCCATAAATTATCAATAATATCAAATTGTATAAATTATTATTTTTATTTACAAATTCTCTTGATTATGAAAGTTTTGAAGTCATATTTATCACTAATTTTTTTTTCCTAATCTTTCTTCAATTTTTTCTTAAATAAAATAATTGTAAACCTTTTTTTTTTATTCTCTATTGCAATTAATGTATTCAAATGTTTGATTCCTAGTTTTAGGAGCTTTATTTACTTGTTATTCCCTCCTTTTCAAAATACTGTTCTGATTTGCATTCAATGATAAGAATTATTGAAAATATTTTTTTAAAATATATAAAATGTATATTAAAAATATATATAGTATATATTATTAAAATGTATATAAAATATATTAATAAAATATATATTAAATATATTTTATCGTAAAATTAACAGCATAATTTATTTTCATTAATTCTTTATGTTTAATGCAAATGGGAACAATATTTTGGAACAGAGGGAATATTTATGAGGTTGAAGTTTTAAAATGTTCAAAAAACCTTGAAACTTTAAAGTATACTTTAACCTTAAAATAAGAAAAACTAAAATATTCATATTTAGTTTCATTCATAGTTAAAAAGTAAGCTTAAACTAAATTATTTTTACTCAATATGTATTAATAGAATGGAAAAACGTTTCCAAAAAAACATGTTTTTTTTGGATAGTTGTATGCTTCAATTTTTTTTTAATATTTAAGTTTTCACACATTTTATACATTAATACACATCAGTGATTCCATTTCAAATTGGAATAATTTGTATGCACTTTATTGCTTGTAGCCATTAAAAACATTGAGTTTTCCTTCCTTCAAAACACAACATGTGGTTTAACATGGCTTTCACTTTAAATTAAGGCATGTTAAAAAACAAGATTTATTTTTTTATCACTAAATTATAATAAACATGTGTCAAAAAATGTGAAAAATGGTAGCCCTTATAAAAATGGTAGACAATATAATGGTATAGGTATCTTTTATCCATAATAAATAAAGATAAATTATTATAATTATTTGAATTCTTATTGTATATTAATGTATTCATTTTATTAAATATTAATGTAAAATAATATTAGTGTAATTAATTTTTATTTTAAAAATGTTTCTAAGTAATAGCAGTAATGTGTTATATTTATAGAAATATTCTCATAATAAATTGATACCTGGAACATCTTACATTAAAAGTTTAACATGGTGGTAGGTTGGATATTTTATATTTATTATCAAAACACACTCAATTGATTAAAATAACTATGAGAACAACATAAGACAAAAATATATAACATCAGTTATAGACAACAACCATACAATAAATATCAGACAGTAATTAGAGATAGTAACAAGAGACATTAACAAGATACAGTAATAGAATACAGTAACAAAGAGGTAGTAATAAGAGACAATAATAAAATACTACTATTACAACAATAATATCAGTCAGCAACTATAATAACAATATCAGATAGCAGTAATAGTCAGTAACAATAATATCAGACATCAAAAGTATAACAGCAATAATATCAGGCATCAAAAGTAGTTTGTAGCAACATTAAACTAATTATAAAAAACTATAATAAGTAACACAACAATGCATGTTACTGATATTTTCAACAAAACAATAGAAAATTAAAATAAGTAACAAGTAAAAATAAGATTGAATCGAATTAAGATAAAAGAATTTTCAAGTTAATGTCAATAATTCAAAACAACAGTAAGTAATAATGACTGAAATAACAACTTAATGTTAATAAAGTATAAACAGAAATTATATCATACAAAAACAAAATTTTATTTTCATTTACACAGGGGGGGAATAATTTTGATGGCTATTGGAGAAGTAGGAAATTTTTCTGCCTATGCTTTTGCACCAGCATCTTTGGTTGCTCCTCTTGGAACAACTACTGTTATAGGTAAAGCCTATTAACTGTTACATTTAAAGTTTTGTTTGCAGTTATAAAAAACAAGTACTTAAAAGCAAAAATTAAATTACTAGCTAATGCAGTTATTGCTGTGGTATTTTTAAAAGAAAAGATCAGGTACAGGGATGTTCTTGGTAAGTTTGTTAATTTTTAATTTGTTGTTTATTAATTTAATTTCTTGAAAATTTTCTATTTCAACTTTATAATGATAATGTTTTGACTTGTTCACTGAATACAAATCCATGCTCAAAATAAGATTTAAAATGTCTAAAAGAACAAATTTGTTACACCCTGTAAAGTTGATAATATATAATACATTATATTCTCGTAGATGATTTTTTTCCAAAAATTTACTGAATTCCAGGAATTCTTTTATAACTTCATTAAGTTTTTGAACTTGCACTTGATTTGTGGTACAAGTATTTAAAGTTTTAAAAACTGCAATATATATATATACATATATATATATATATATATATATATATATATATATATATATATATATATATATATATATATATATATATATATATATATATATATATATATATATATATATATATATATATATATATATATATATATATATATAAATATAATGTTAACTCACTTCTCCAAGGCCAAAAAGGCCACTACAGTCAAGAAGGCTACTTTTAATAGTAGTGTGAGTTTTTGTGCAATAGAAATGATAAATTCGCAGAAAGATTATGATAATGTGGTGTTGTAAGATCTAACTAAATTTAAGTAGTGAACAATTGTAGGTGAAACTCCATCCTCTTTGATTTGTTTTTGATAATTAAAATAAATTTGACATTAACTACTTTCTTATTTAAAATATAACAATTATTTTTATTGATTACTTTTATTTATATTTTATCTTATTGGTTGTTATACTAAATAAAGTTTTGAAGAAAGTAAAAATGCATGTATCAGTTAAGTTACTTACAATTATTTTTAATTTTTTAAATGTAAATTTATAGATAGCTCTTGCGCATAATAGTTAATGTAGATACAACTCTAATTAAAATTAAGTTATGGACTGAGAGAAGCAACTATCATTGTGCACTTTTAAACTATGTATAACAATAAACAAACAAACAAAACAATAACAATATTTTTTGTGTTACAGATGTTACAAAAACATAGGTCATTGCAAATAGTGATTCACTAATAAAGCTCAATGACCTAGATAAGATAAAAAATAATAATAACAACAATAATATTATGTAATAAGTAAAACCACATTAAAAAAGTAGGTTAAAAAGGAAGTTAAGTTCAATAAGTTAACATAATATTAACTAATAAAAGTATAATTGCATACAAATTTATTTATACTAAGTAATCAGACTTTATGAATATATATAACATAATTAATATAATGTATATTTATATATGCACATATACTTAAAAAAAAATTATAATAAAATAAGTAAATTATAATAAAAATAATTATTTAAAATAAAATATTAGAAATGAAATTATAATAAAATAATAAACTATAATAAAAATAAAAAAATTCAAAAGGTAGAAAGTAAAAAGGTAAAAAGTAAAGTTAACCATAACCTGTTAGGTAGAAATGATGGAGTGACTTATTAATAGATTCTTGAACCTAAGGATGAGACCTGATTTTAGGGTGTTCGGAAAAATTATATTTTAGAATACTCTTATTATATCATTATCAGTTAATTTCCAAGCTCTTTATTTTTAATACCTAAACATAAATCAGTTTCTGAAATCAGATTTAAAATAAACTGATTGTCATTTATATGTAGATTAAAATTAAAATTAAAAAATTATTCAATTAGAGTATTCTATAAACCATAAAAAATTTCAATTGCAGAAATAAGACTGTTTAAAATGGCTGAGAAAGTATTGTTCTTAGACATTGTGATAATATATCATAATTATTTCAAATAAAATAAAATGATAGATTAAAGATAGTATAATAAGTCAGGGTTTTAGAATTGCCAAAAAGATGCAGTATAACATTAAGTCTTTACTTTTATTATTTAGTAAGTTTTCACGTTTAGTAATTAGTTATAAAGTTTTAACTTTGGTACAACAACTACATTGCCAATAAATCGATCTATTATATCATTTTATAGTCGATTTATTATATCATTGTATAATCAATCTGTTATATCATTTTATAATCAATCTGTTATATCATTTTTAAATTGCTCTATTATATATTTCTATAATCGGTCTATAAGTACATATATTAATATTCTGAAATTCCAATTATATAAGTTATATAAAGATGATAGAACCAACATAATTTATATATTATGCTTCCTATTGAATATTTGCTCTTTTACTAATAAACTTCTTTATTGGAGTATATCAGCATAGCCAGTTTTTATTACTGAAGCATGGATGACTTCTGAAAACAATAATACAACCGCAATAATAAAAAATTATGGATATGTTTTTGGCACAAAATAAGAAAAGAAAGAGATAAAGAAAAATTGGCGGGGTAGGAATTATGTTAAAACAATCGATTAAGCACAAACAACTACCAAATAAACAGTTTCACTCCTTTAAACATGTGTGTGTTAAAATTACTGTAGCCAAAAGATCACTAATTTTAATTTGCATTTATAGACTAATATTTATCTATTATATTAATATTTGTCATTTCTGGATGAATTCATGGATTTACTTGAAACAATAGTGTCAAAAGGTTGCAAATACGTTATAGCTGGTGATATAAACATACACTATGATACTAAAGAACTATTTAGCAAAAGCTTCTAAGAAATACTAAATATACTAAATCTAACACAACAAGAACCAACTCATAAAATCGAACATATGCTTGCTGTAACAGACTTGTATTTAAGTGGTCATTTTCTTATTAATTTTAAAGAAGAACAAAAAATAGAAAAAAACCATACCAAACTATCACATACAGGAATTTAAAAACAATGGACATACAGTCCTTTAACAATGAAATATCAAGAAATAAACCAGAAATATCATCAGCTGAAAATATGAAATACAAAATAACCATATATAACCAAGAGATTGTGCAGAAACATGCCCCTTTGAAAATAAAAAGAGTAAATATAGTTAAAATAGCTCCTTGGTTTGACAGAAAATATATACAACAGGCAAAAACCAAGAAAAGCAGAAAAATTGTTTAGGAGAACAAAAAATGAAAGTGACAAATATGAATATAGAGGCCTCAGGAAAAAAACAACAATATTTGCTTATATATAAAAAAGAACATATTTCTCTAACCTATTTAATAAAAGCACAAGTAAAAATCTATTCTAATTGGTAAACAAGCTACTAGTTAAAACTCAAGAATATGTACTATCAACAGCCAATTCAGACAAAGAACTAGCTAATAACTTAAATAATTATTTTACTAAAAAAATCAGAAAACTCAGGTCTGGTCTTCAAATATCTCAAATAAAGAAAAACACAGATTATAATGGTCAGTTTTTGAGAAATTTTGATCCAAAGACATACGAAGAAATTTACAAAATCACCATGTCATTTGGAATAAAAATCACCATGTCCTCCTGATGATCTGATTCCATCATATCTACTACGAAATAATTTACAAACATTCATATATATATATGAGTTGAATTAGCAAACCTAATGTTAGAATCGCTAGACAAGCAGCATGGATTGTCTTAAAAGTGCTACATTACTTCCAATAATAAAAAGGTTAGACTTTGCCACAGATACTGAAGACTTCAAAAATTATAGACCAGTTTCTAATTTAGTATTCATTAGCAAGCTAAAAGAAAGAGTAGTTTCCAATTGTCTTGATTTCCACATGACAACAAACAATGTTCATATAGAACATCAATATGGATACAAAAGACATCACTTAACTGAAACACTTTTACTGAAGCTTACAAATGATATATTTGAACTCTTTGATAAACATACGCCTTCAATACTAATGTTACTTGATCTAAGTGTTGCCTTCAACATTATTGATTAGCAAAAACTGCTTGGACTGTTAACCAGTGAAATAGGTATAATTGACTCTGATCACTAGTGCTTCGAATCATTTTTAGTTAACCGTACACAAAAAGTTAAAATTGATAACTCATATTCTACAAACCAAAATGTAAAATATAGAGTACCACAAGGTACAGTCCTGGGTCCAAAACTCTTCAATATCTATATGAGACTAATTTACAAATATCTGCACATAATCAATGTTAAAATTTTTGGGGACTCAATATATTGAACAAAATATCCAAAATAAAACAATTCTTATTGCAATAAGATTTGTGCACCATAGTATATTCACTAATATTTGCACAGCTAGATTATTTGCAACTCCCTCTACTTGGAAATTGAAAAGTCACAAATAAAAAAACTGCTATCTGTTCAAAATTGTGCAGCAAGAATGGTATTTAAAACTAGATTAGGAAACTGTGTAAACGACTAGGAATTTAACAAATTGCATTGACTAAAAATTAGAGAAAGGATATATTTCAAGGTTCTTTTAATAATGCACAAATCTATTATTCTGGAAGTACTAATATCATGCAATTTAATTCACTACTCAATGTCAGAAAGAACACTAAAATTAAAGGAAACAAAATGCAGCAATCGTTTTGGTAATCAAGCATTATCCCATTATGGTCCTAAATTTTGGAATATACTTCCAAATATCATCTGTGACGAAAAAAACAACTATTTATAAGACAAAACTAAAATCTTATTTAATGATGAATGGTGAACTGTTCCACCAGAAAACTTTTGAATGTTAAATTAAAATCTCTTGAACATTATTATTAAAGTTTTTACTAATATAATGGTTTGTTGCACAGCTGAGCAAGTGTTTTGCCAACTTTATCCACAATACTGTAGCTGTGGGTAAACATCTGTATTTATTTATTTATAAGTTTGTAAACTTGTGTACGTAAAAATGCACACACTTTGCGTTTTACACTGGACATCAGTTTTTGCAGGGTCTTTGGCTGGACTTCTTGGAAGCTTCAATCTATTTATTTTGAACACATTACATTGAATACATACATTGAACCTTAGTTTTCCTTTGTCAATAGCCCAATATCTTTCAATAGGATGTAATTCGGGACAATTTGGTGGATTGCAGTATTTTTCAAAGCCAAAACAATGGGTTACTTGTATCAGATCT